TAAATACTTAAAGAACTAAAATCGATAAGTGTATAGTTAAGGGACTAAAACTGGTAAATGTATAGTTAATGGACCATCACTGATAAATTTTTAAATAGTTGAAGGACTAAAACCGGTAAATGTATAGTTAAAGGACCATTTTAGACATACTCCTATAGTTAAGGGACTGTTTATAATATTTTCTCAATATAAATATATGTTAAAGTAAACCCTAATAAAATATTATATGTGCTTGCGCCGTGGAACTTGAGTTCAAACCACTCTTTGCATTGATCTAGCTTCGACAATGAGGTCAAAGGCAAAACAACAAAAGAAAATCAAGGGGAAGTGTAGCAATGAGGATACATGTGTTTTTCCGTATGATATCATTGTCAACATTCTTATTAAGGTATATGCTGTATCATTATTACGTTTTAAATGTGTTTCAAAATCATGGAACAATATGATATCCGAGGATGTTACATTCACAAAAGCTCACTGTGAGCAATCTAAGATCTTAAGACGTGAAAAACTTTTATTACAAAGAAAATCGGGAGGGTTTGACTTCATACATTTAAACAATTTTAATGAAGTTGTCATAGATAAGCAACAATTTCCTCTCAAAGGATTCCTAGGTGCTCATGTCTTATGCTCATATGATGGCTTGGTAATATTGAAGAAACATAAGGCTTACAAGAAATTTGTGTTATGGAATCCGTTATCTGGACAACATCAAATTTTTGAGTGTCCATATATGAAATCTCATGAACACACATTTTCTAGTGTTGGGTTATGTTATGATTCTATCACCGATGATTACAAATTTGTATTGATCTATAACCTATTTTATGTTGTATACTCTCTGAGTAAAAATATTTGGACGAAGAAAATATCTCTCCCTACATTACAACAATGTACGACTGAATTTATTTTTTCAATTTCACACTCATATGTGTGGAGTAAGGAAATTAGCACTAAAAATCGTGTATATTGGTCTCTGAATGCGAAATTTCTCTGTCATAAATGTAAAACTTCTACATTCATATACTTTGATGCGGAATTGGATGAATTGAAGGAGCTCCCAATACCAATTGCTGACAGTGAACATCAATGCTTATTTCAATTGTTTACTTGGAAAGGTTGTCTAAGTGCATATGGATGCAACAATTCTTATTCTGGATTTCACATTTGGATGAGGCAACACGATGATTGGAAATGGTTAATGTCCATTCCTAATATACCAGCTTTAAATTATGGGTGTTACTTTTATAATTATAAGATTTTGTGTTGCACAGAGAAAGAGAATGATGAACTTATCTTTCAAGGACCACAATGTCACAATCTTTCTATCTATTGTCTTAAACAACAACGATTTATTAGGAGAGTTAACATACCAAATCATCTTGAGTATTTACTTGGTCATGCAACGCCAATATGTTTGGATAGCTTATATTTTCCCAAATTCAATGTTACGCGCAAGAGGAAGCAACTCAGTACTCCATCAAAGTGAAGTCGGGATTTAAAAAGACAGTTGAGATATCAACAGAGCAATGTCAAATTTGTTAGATCAACTATATGCATTAATGTGTAATCTTGAGTTTTTTTAAAGTTTTGTACTCAATCTTCTTGGTATTCTTATGGTTTCATGTTTATCTTCTAATGTTTTGTTTTTTATATCCAAGGAAATTGATTCTTGTTGTCGTAATTTTTGAACACTTATTTCATCTTGAGATTTTATGAAAAAATATATTAACTAAAGCATCAATAGTTGATGGAGCCGAATCAATTTTTACAGACAAATAAGAGAGATAACATCTTCAAAAGTCTTATTTGAAATTCTCGTTCTATGCATTAATTGTGTTAGAAATTAGAATTTGGAGCTATATGCTTTGTACTATATCAATCAGAGTTTTTATTCGTGCTTTTTAAGTCGATATCTAAACAAAAAGGTCTTATTTGATCTCTCTATAACCTACAAAATTATATTCTTCTAAAAGTCTTACAAGTTACAATTTCGTTGCAAGGGGGTCTTTTGCATTCCCAATTGATAGGTTTATCAATCGTAATATTGATTGAGTTAGCTGGGGGAAAAAATCAAAAAAGAGTTCATATAAATATTGCCTAGCTAAGAGATCAGTGAAACCATCTACATAAAAACATAAATAATTGATATAAAAGAGGTAGTATATTGTCATATTACAAGAGGTCTAAATTGAATGTACGATTGAAACTGACTCGTTGGTAATAAAGAGAATTATAAAGAAAGTTGAAAAACATATGGAAGATTGAAACAATTGCAGAGGACAATGTTGATATAATATAACATTGTCATCTTAGAGTTGATATAATATACAAAGAGGAACACATTAAATTACTATGTTGGATCTCTTTTTTTTTTTTAGCATTAATAGAATGATAAATTATGCAAAATATTAGCCTACAAGATTATTACCATTTTTTAGATCAATTTATTTAAATTACTTAAAATGGTCATTGACCTTATCCCCCCCCCCCAAATTCGCTACACGTCGTCGTCGTCTTCTTCTTCTTCTCCTTCTCCTTCTGCTTCTTCTTCTTCTCCTTCTTTTTCTTTTTCTTCTTCTTCTTCTTCTTCTTCTTCTTCTTCTTCTTCTTCTTCTTCTTCTTCTTCTTCTTCTTCTTCTTCTTCTTCTTCTTCTTCTTCTTCTTCTTCTTCTTCTTCTTCTTCTTCTTCTTCTTCTTCTTCTTCTTCTTCTTCTTCTTCTTCTTCTTCTTCTTCTTCTCCTCCTCCTCCTCCTCCTCTTCCTACTTCTCCTTCTTCGTCTTCTTATTCTTATTCTCCTTCTCCTCTTCCTCTTCCTCCTCCTCCTCCTCCTTCTTCCTTCTCCTCCTCCTTCTCCCTCTCCTTCTCCTTCTCCGCCTCCTCCTCATTATGCACCCCCTCCTCCTCATCCTCCTCTTTCTTCTCCTCCCCCTCCTTCTCTTTCTCCTTCTCCTTCTTTTCTTTCTCCTTCTCCTTCTCCTTCTCCTCCTTCTTTAAAATTTGACGTACTGCAAATGTGAATCATTTTGAATAAATTATATATCAAAAGACTTAAAACATCGAGATGATTCCATATATAAATTTCGATACTGTTTAGAGGATATTTTGAGTTGGTCGGAATTGAATAGTCAGTGTATACTTCATGTATAGTTAATGTATATTTCATGTATAGTTAAACTATATCAAGTTTTTTTGCGTGTATCATATAATCAATGTATAACTCATTTATATATAAGTTATAATCAGTTTTTTGAGTGTATCATAGTGTATAATTAATGCATGTTTTCTATGACATTTTACTATTTTTATGTAAATAAAACATGACTATATTTGTTGTAAATTAATTATTTTATTGTATATATTTGAAACTATCCCTTAATAAAATGGGTCATCGGTCCAACTCCAATTAAAAAGAGGAAAAACCACCTAATTAGACAAAAATGCATACTATATCTACTAATCTAACATATACTTTCATATAATTACCTATTACTCCCTTCGTCCCAATTTATGTGACACTTTTCGGATTTCGAGATTCAAACAAGTCTATTTTGACCGTAAATTTTTCATACATCTTTCAAATATTTTGAATTGTCAATTATTGTGACTTATAATACTTTTTTACGTAGTTTATAAATATATAAGTTTCATTTCAAATAATTTGAAAATTCCATGCGTAAATTGCTAGTCAAACTTAAACTACTTGACTCTCCAAAAACGAAAAGTGTCACATAATTTGAAACATAAGGGGTACTATTTAATAATTTTGTATCATATTTAGTGTGAGATACATCACTCCTTAAAATAAGCTTAAAATAGAACTCTAAATTATCTATCCACTTAATTCTCTCCATAATTTATACCTTCACTCCAAATCAGTCTACTATCTATCCTAAAATTTTCTTCCTACATTTCTTCCCAATGGCTATAGCTTCTATTTCATCTACGGAAATATTTAAATCAATTTATTAATACTTAGAGAAATCTAAATCTATTTATTTTCTCATTCAAGCATTGTTCCTTCTTTGTGTTCATCTACTTTGAGGTGAAATTTATCAAATACATAGAATAAACTACATTAGATACATAAAAAACAATCCAAATACATCTAATCATTAAATACGTATCAAATACATAAAAGAAACTATATCAAATAACTATTCAGATACATAAAATAAACAGAATATATACAACTAATCATTAAGTACATACCATATACATAGAAGAACAATTCAAATATATAGAATGAACAGATTAAGTACATCTTATCATTGAGTGTATATATATATATATATATATATATTTATTAGATACATATAAAAACTATATAAGATACATAAAAGAACAGTTCAAAGATACCCAAAAATTCACATTCCAGAAGAAAAAGTATAAAATTCACCGATGCTCGAAAAAATAGGAAGAACTGTGATTTTTTGATTTTTTGTTGTGCTACAGAAAATACTCCAAAATTGTTATACGCGTGATTTCCTCCTTCATTTATGTCTTTCAGTTACATTACTTATTTATGTATTACTTAATTGTATGTAAATCGTTAACATGTATTCGAGACACATGTATCTGAACACACCAAATACATGTATATGAGGCGTAAATTATGGTAGAATTAATAATATTCCAAACTCCCAAAAAAAAATAGCTCGCTCCTAAACTAATAAAATTTGTGTTGTTTGCCCTTAATAAAATGGGCCACCAACCCAATTTCAATTAAAAAATAAATCAAAACATGTAAACATTGTCCAATAAATTAAATCAAACCATTTAAACCAACAAATTTTAATTAAATTTGTTAATTAAAAACACAAAGAGGACTTACTTTTCTAAGAGAAGATTTTAAGTTACATATGCTAATCATTATAAATATCCTATATGATAACGAGTGATATAAATACCTTATGGTAAACCCTAATAGAGACAACACCACATTCTTGAGTGTCCATATGTGAATTCTCATGAATACACATTTCTTCACGCTTGCGGATTATGTTATGATTCTACCGCTGATGATTACAAAGTTATATTGGTCTAAAAACATTGTTGTAGTCGTCTCTCATAATTTTCACGCACTTCATTAACTGTTAGACCACATCTTTGTCAGGACACTCATACTTAGGTATCAAAGTGTTAGTCATAGCTAAATCAAAATAAGGCATAAATTAACCCTTAGTTTCACAGGTGATGATGAGATATACAGGTGGAGAAGCTAAAACTAACCCAAAATTGCTGCAGCCACTGAAAGTTGAATTACTCATCCCTTAAAAAATTTCAAAAACTAATACAATTTTTATACACCAACTTTGGACTCTTCCAGAACAGACTGATGAGTTCATCTAAGCGCGGTTGAAGGTTCTGGGGAGAGATTGGTTGTGCCAAAATTACGATGCTTACCATCAGCAACGTTTGTTAGCTGAAAACCATAATTAGGAAGTTGATTTATAAGAAGAGTTTCCAATTGGCAGGCGATGCTCTTGCCAGAGACTAGGAAATATAGGAATGATGCGTTTTCCATTCCCTCCTTCAAGCGATGAGCACGGACTCTGCCCTCAAGATCATCAGTCTGTACATATATATAATAAGAAAGAAGAACGTTAAGATATAATATGTCAAAGGAAGTAATAGCTCAAACTAACCGAAATGAAGACTGGTGTTTGCACTGATGTGCCCATAGACTTCATTTGTATAACAACAATAATGTCTGTCTATTGGCCATTTATCTCAAAATAACTTTGAACATAATTACCTCCACAACTTTTAAAAAAACATTTCGGAAAAAGAAACTGAAAATAGAAAACTAAATTCAGTTATTCTCCAGACGCTCAAGTAGCAAAACAACTTTTTACAATTAAATCACATAAAAAAATTGATTAGACAAAGTAAGCACTTTAAGACTCAAACTGGAAAAAGGAAAAGATGTACCTGTCCAACATACAACTTTTTGTCAGGTCTTAGCATTGTATAGACACTTGAAGCACCAATTGTTGATGGAGCCGGCTGTTCCCTGGCAGCAATAAGAACACAATTCACCATTGCCATTTCTGACGGATTTTTCATTTTATACAGCTCAATTAACTTCTTCTCACAGATAAGACAGATAGCATCTTCAAGTTTCTTGCTTGAAATTCCCATTCGATGCATTAACTTTGTGCTAGAATCCAAAGCTATTAGTCTTGTACCATTTAATTGGTCAGAGCTTTTATCTGTGCTATTGAGGTCAATATCTGAACAAAGAGGTCTTATTTGGTCTTTCTTCATTGGTATCTGATTCCCGTAAGCTGAATTATACAATTCTTCTGCTCTTTGGATTAATATTTCTGGAATTCCTTCTCTCTGAGCTGTTTCAAATGCAAGACTCTCTTTACAGACCCCATCAATGAGTTTCCAAGTTGGTATTGGTTGACCATCAACATACTCAGCTCCCATTGCTTTATACACGGTCTTCTTGATTTTCAGGGGTAAATCAAAAATTCCATGCAAGTGGGTTGATACAATTCCCAAACAGCCAATTGCGTCCAGGGTTTCTATGACACTTCCAGCAATACATGTCCCTTTTGCTGTTTCTGTTCCTCGACATATTTCATCTATAAGTACAAGACTGCTTGAAGTGGCACCAGTAATCAGAGACCGAATTTCAGACATTTCAATCTGAGGCATGTTAGACAATTAAGAGTCATAATGTTGCCTTCAAAATGCCATGAGACTCTACTATGTCAGCAAGGAAAAGTGAAAAATGATGAATAGAAACACCAACACCTAGAGTCAAGATTATTATACACAAACGAATGAAATAGCTTCACTCTCAGAAAAAACATATGATAGAAGTGGAACTTACATCATTATCACCTACAAATTAATCCAAGAGAACGATGCAAAGGAAGAAGACTCCAAAATAATAACCAATAAGATAACCAGAAGAGAGATTGGCTTTTTACCATAATAACCACAGTAGAACTGCTATGTACTAAAGATTCTTTTGTCAAGACAGGCACAACGTTCTTGTTAAACATCCATTATACTCTATCCACTTTTTGGGATGGAGAGGATAAGAAGATCAGTTGTGCCAAATGTCTAATGAAAACCACTCATGGAATTGTGTATCCCTCCTGACTATGGATTGCAATCAAATACAAGTAGTCTTAACAAGCAAAAATCATCTACAACAAGCAAATGCAAACAAAAAGTAAAATGCTTATCTGCAACAATCGCAGCAAGCATCATGATACAGCATCCATGTCTTGTTTTATTTGCAGATAAATTACTAGGTTTCTAGCAAACAGGACAAGAAGAAAACCATATATGCTACAAATCAAGAATATAAAACATATTACCTGAAATGAACTTTTTCCATCAGCAGGACTATCATATGATTTCATATGCAGCATAATTGAGTCAAAATGAGGAATGACAGCCGATTCAGCTGGAACCATGAACCCACACATTCCTAGCAATGCAGCTGCACACAACGATCGCAGCAAGCTTGATTTGCCCCCACCATTTGGACCTGTTAAAAGAAACATGGACTGCATATCTACTGTATTCTGTACACCAGTCCCCCGTGCTGCATCAAACCAATAAGGAGATAGACCAATTATCTTCATTCCCTCAGTTCCATTAAGTGCCTCTGTGTCCTGCATTTTAATGGCATGTAATTGGATCACATGAATAACAGATAAAAATATGAAGATTTTCCTCATTAAATGAGATCAGGATAAGATTTGTAATCCATGTCATATTTTTCTCCATAAGAAACCAGCCAAGGATTAGATGGGAGGGCCTGACGGAGGCCAAAGCTCAGGAGATTGGAGAGAAGTTGGTGGCTAAGGGGAGTAGTGGTTACACAGATAATATTTTTTTGAGAAAGATAATGTCGTATTCCTCAGCATTAAGGATATGCTAGAGACCTCCAAAAATTGGTTTCCAACAAGAGAAAAAACAAAAAGGCTAATAGATTACAAAGTGCCTATAAAATCCAAAATTTGAGCAGCTTCTTCTATCCCTTCCTCTTTACACCAAAAATAAAAAGTAGTCAAGCAGTTTCATTTGACTTTCTCTATTGAATTAGCCTTGTTATCATAGCATCTGCTATTTCTTTCTTTCCAAATAGACCACCAAATGCATGATGGTATTACTCCACCACTTTTTCTAAGATTTTCTCCACCCTCTGCTCATCCAAAAACTAAGTAGATCTATTGTATGCTCAGGCATGATCAATTATATATGTGTTAGTCCCAAAAAAGGGTTCCACAATTGTGTTGTCACTCTGCAATGGAGGAACAAGTGGTTGTTGGTTTCCTCAGTCTCATTACATAGAGAGCACCAAGAGGCAATATAGAAACCCCTCCTTTTCAATTTCTCATGTGTGGAGCATGCTCTTCTGGAAACCAACCAAGAGAAACACTTTATCTTGATTGGCACCTTGTTCCTCCAAATCTGTTTCCAGGGACCAAGCTTACCACCTGTATGCTCTTTCACCTCCTTAATATATAGCTTGTTAACAGAAAGGCTTCCATCTCTAGTGTGTTTCCATATGATAGAATCTTTTTCTGTCGATAACCCATTAAACCTGTTCAGAACATGTACTTGCTCAGTCACTCTCCCAATCTCCCCGTCATTTAAATGCCTTCTAAACACAATATTCCATCCATGTTCTCCAAGCTGACACCCCATAAGGGTTATTCACAGAGTTGGAGACCCAATTTCCATTCAACCCCTACTTGTTGACTATCACCTCCCTCCACAGTGCTTCTTCCTCAGTGTTGAACCTCCATAGCCATTTTGACAAGAGGCATCTATTCTGCAACCCCAAGTTTCTGATTCCAAGTCCATCAAATTGTTTATGTAACTGTGCAGTCTGCCATTTGACTAAATGCAAACCCTTCCCTTCTTTTCTTCCTTTCCAAAAGAAATCTCTTCTTAGTTTGTCAAGTCTTTCTTCCACTTTGGCAGGCATAGGGAATAAAGGCATAACGTAAGTTGGAACAGAGTCCAACACAGAGTTTATTAAAGTGACTCTCCTGCCCAAAGAGATATACTGAGCTTTCCAATTGGACAATTTCTTCACTGTTATGCCACTCCAAATTTCTAGCTCCTTATGTTTGTGCCCCAATGGCATGCCCAAGTAAGTAGTGGGAAGTTGTTCTACTTTACACCCCAATATCCTTGCCAGGCTCTGAAGTTGAGGGACTACTTTAATTGGAAAGATGATGCTTTTCCTCCAATTAATTGATAAACCAGAGACTGCTTCAAAAACCACCAAAGTCATTCTTTTAAAGGCAACCTGTTCAGCCTTGCTTTCACATAAAATAATTGTGTCATCTGCTTTGTTGACCTTGAAGCCTTTTAACCAATTGCTTTGGACAACTACTCTCATCATACTATTATAGCCCTCCATGGCTAGGATGAAAAGGAAAGGAGAGAGTAGGTCTCCCTGCCTTAGACCCCTTTCTGATGGGAAAAAACTTCTCCATTCACTAAAATGGAGAATCTAACAATTTTTATGCAATAGTCGATCCACTTCAGCCATTTCTCCCCGAAAACAATGTGTTTTCGAATCCTGATCATGAAGCCCAAATTGACATGATCATAAGCCTTCTTTATGTCCAGCTTGCACATATTTCTTGGATCATCTCCCTTGACTCTGGTGTCCACACACTCAGTTGCTATAAGTGCTGCATCAATAATTTGCCTACCTTTTATGAAGGCCATTTTGTGTTTATTCACAAGCTTACTGATCACTCTCCTAAATCTTTCTACTAGTATCCTTTTTTTTTTTATTATAGATAATGTTGTATTCTTCAGCATTAAGGATATGTTGGAGACCTCCAAAAATTGGTTTCCAACAAGAGAAAAACAAAAAGGCTAATAGATTACAAAGTGCCTATAAAATCCAAAATTTGTGCAGCTTCTTCTATCCCTTCCTCTTTACACCAAAAATAAAAAGTAGTCAAGCAGTTCCATTTGACTTTCTCTATTGAATTAGCTTTGTTATCATAGCATCTGCTATTTCTTTCTTTCCAAATAGACCACCAAATGCATGATGGTATTATACTCCACCACTTTTTCTTAGATTTTCTCCCCACTCTGCTGATCTAGCAACTAAGTAGATCTGTTGTATGCTCAGGCATAATCCATTTTGTATGTGTTAGTCCCAAAAAAAGGTTCCACAATTGTGTTGTCACTTTGCAATGGAGGAACAAATGGTTGTTGGTTTCCTCAGTCTCATTACAGAGACAGCACCAAGAGGCAATATATAAACCCCTCCTTTTCAATTTCTCATGAGTGGAGCATGCTCTTCTGGCAACCAACCAGGAGAAACACTTTACCTTGGTTGGCACCTTGTTCCTCCAAATCTGCTTCCAGAGGTGAAGCTTACCACCTGGATGCTCCTTCCCCTCCTTAATATATAGCTTGTTAACAGAAAGGCTTCCATCTCTAGAGTGTTTCCATATGATAGAATCTTTTTCTGCTGATAACCCATTGAAACCATTGAGAACATGTAATAGCTCAGCCACTCTCCCAATCTCCCAGTCATTTAAATGCCTTCTAAACACAATATTCCATCCATGAATAGACCATACCTCTGCCACTGTTTCTTTCGGATTGGTACACAAGGAGAATAGGTCAGGAAATAAGACCATCAGTGCCTCATTTCCATTCCAATTCTCTTTCCAGAATAGGATTTTCATCCCATTTCCCACCTTGTAGACTATGTTTCTACTTAGATCAGGCCACAAATTTCTTATTGTTCTCCAAGCTGACACCCCATAAGTGCTATTCACAGAGTTGGAGACCCAATTTCCATTCAACCCGTACTTGTTGACTATCACCTCCCTCCACAGTGCTTCTTCCTCAGTGTTGAACCTCCATAGACATTTTGACAGGAGACATCTATTCTGCAACCCCAAGTTTCTGATTCCAAGTCCACCAGATTGTTTGTTTATGTAACTGTGCAGTTTGCCATTTGACTAAATGCAAACCCTTCCCTTCTTTATTCCCTTTCCACAAGAAATCTCTTCTCAGTTTGTCAAGTCTTTTTTTCCACTTTGGCAGGCATAGGGAATAAAGACATAACATAAGTTGGAAGAGAGTCCAACACAGAGTTTATCTCCCAAAGAGATATACTGAGCTTTCCAATTGGCCAATTTTTTCTCTGCCTTTTCAATTATGCCGTCCCAAATTTCTAGCTCCTTATGATTGTGCCCCAATGGCATGCCCAAGTAAGTAGTGGGAAGATGTTCTACGTTACACCCCAATATCCTTGCTAGGCTCTGAAGTTGAGGGACTTCTTTAATCGTAAAGATGTTGATTTTCCTCCAATTTACTGATAAACCTGAGACTGCTTCAAAAACCACCTAAGTCATTCTTATAAAGGCAACTTGTTCAGCCTTGGCTTCACAAAAAATAATTGTGTCATCTGCATAAAGCAGTATGCAGATGACAAATCTGCATTTCCCTTCCTGAAGAGTTGCGGACCTTGAAGCCTTTTAACGAATTGTTTTGGGTAGCTACTTTCATCATACTATTATAGCCCTCCATGGCTAGGATGAAAAGGAAAGGAGAGAGTGGGTCTCCCTGCCTTAGACCCCTTTCTGATGGGAAAAAACCAATAGGTTCTCCATTCACTAAAATGGAGAACCTAACAGTTTTTATGCGATAATCGATCCACTTGCTTATAGGTCTGAAATCTCTCAGTTCCATAACTCCCACCTTCTTGGGGATCAATGCCACATAGGTTGCATTTAGGCCCTTCTCAAACACTTGGTGGTCATGGAATTGCCTCAAGGTGCTCAGTATGTCTTCCTTAAGCATTTCCTCGAAGTTTTGATAAAAACTCATCGGAAAGCCATTCGGGCATGGGGTCTTGTTACTGGAACACAACTTGAGTGTCTCAACGACTTCATCTTCCTCAAATTGTCTTTGTAGCCACCCTTTTTCCTTAACACTGATGCTTTAACTCCCTTGGAGATTAAAATGTGGCCTCCATTGTTTTGATTCCTTGTAAAATTTCTGATAAAAGCTTACAACTTGTTGCTTGATCACCTCTGGTTCGGAAACAGTCACACCTTCCAATTCTAACTTCTCGATTGTATTGAATCTTCTGTGTGATGTAGCCATTCTGTGGAAGTATTTGGTATTTTTATCCCCTCACTTGAGCCATTGTACCCTGAACCTTTGTCTCCACGCTATTTCCTCATTCTGGGAAATTTCTGCAAACTCATTGAATAACTGAGCTTTGTGTAAACTCTCCTCCTCATTAAGTGTTCTCAGCTCCTGGATTGTTTCAAGGCTAGCAATCTAGTTTAGCACATCCTCCTTTCTATGTTTCCAGTTGCCTCTATTCTCCGGCTCCCATTCCTTTAATTTCCCTTTAAGATGCTTTAGTTTTGTTTTCAGCCTATAGGAAGTTGTTCCATTTACAGTGAAGGATGCCCACCATTCTTTTACTTTTTCTCTAAACCCTTCCACCCTCATCCACCATTGCTCAAACTTAAAATAAGTCTTTTTGAGATTTAGTTTTCCATAATTTAGAACTATTGGACTATGATCAGAGCCTACTCTCGGGAGCACACTTTGTCTAATTTACGGGAACAATTCTTCCCAATGATTAGAGTAGAGGAATCTGTCAATTCTGAAGGTTGTTGTGTGGTTCTCACCCCTTCTCCAAGTATAAGATCCTCCAAATAAAGGAGGATCAAATAACTCCATCTCGTTGATCCAGTCAATGAACTCCGTTATTTCTCCAGACAGGTAATGGCTGCCAGTTCTTTCGTTTGGAAATCTTGTAACATTGAAGTTGCCACACACCACCCATGGTCCATAAAGGAGTTTCTAATTAATGTCACCCCACCCCACCCCCCACAGTTGCCTTCTTATTATTGGTTGCAGTCAGCATAAACTGTACTTAAAAACCAAGTGAGATTATGTACTACACCTTCTAGTTTACATGTAAGCATCTGACCAGCAATCCCTATTAGCTCCCCCTTCCAATACCTTTTGTCCCACATCACTACAATCTCTCCACTTCTACCCACTGCTTCTAAGTGGAACTTGCCCATCCAACTATTATACCACACCTCTTTGAATAAAGCATTGTCAACTCCCCTCAGCTTTGTCTCTACAAAGACATAGACGTCAGCCCCCTATTGATTAGTTAAACTCCTAATAAGACTCCTTCTGCTCCCCCCCATTCAGCCCCCTTACATTCCAAGAAATAATATTGATCTTCATTTAAGTCTAAGAGGTGTTGTTCTCCCTCTACCTCTAGGTTCCCCGTCTTTTAAAGTTCATGTGAAATTCTAAGTTTCTTAGATCCTTGGGGACACTATGCTGGTTGTTGTCCCTCTTGGTAGCCTCTTTTTTTTTTTTTATCTAAGTAGCCTCTCTTTTGGTCTATCTTCATGAGTAATTCAAAGGCTATTTTATCATATCCCTCGAAAGCTGCTCCAAACCTCTTGCTGAATTCAAGAACGTTAGACTGCACCCATATTGTTGCTCTATCTTTCATTTCCTTTTCTGAGAGAGGTTCTTCCATATGTAAGGGCATAGGCTCTTCAAAAATTATCATGTGTCCCTTGGACTTCTCCCCCCGATCACCTTCATCATTTTTATTCGAACCATAATCCTTCTTCTTAGAAGAATTTGAGCAGACTTTGTCTCTTACCTCAGTATGTTGCATGTTGTGGGCTACAACAATTAACTGCATAAGGGAAGAAACTAGAGAGGTTTTAGGGGTATCGCAGGTGGGCACAAAGGGGTTTATAGAGGAATGGAGAGGTCCAATGAAAAGTGTTAGCCAAGAAGGCTACCACTTTGTATAACTTACCCTTAAGCATTGATGACACAATCTTATCGCACATTCTCCTCCATTTTGCCCACCTCACTCCAATACTACGTTTGACATCATCATTAATCTCCCCATTTCCGTGGATTATGGACCCAAGGTACTTGAAGCTTCCTCTTTTGAGTGTGACTTGTGCATCAATCTTCATTTCCACCACCGACTCATGCGTTAAGTCACTGAACTTGCACTCGAGGTTCTTTGTTTGTCTTGCTTAATTTGAAATCTTTCGGTATTAGGATCTATCTCCAAACTTCCAGGCAATCATTAACTCAATCGCGAGTCTCATCTATTAGTACTATGTCATTTGCAAATAACACACCACAACATCTCCTTTTGAATCTCCGTGTCAATTCTTCCATCACTAAGGAAAATAGGGATAGGCTAAGGGTTGACCCTTGGTACAACCTCATCATGACGGAGAAGTGTCTGGAGTCACCTCCCACTATTCTAATCCGGGTCTTAGCTCCATCGTACATGTCCTTAATGGCCCAAATGTAGCCCACTAGTACCTTTACCCTCTAAACATCTAGAAGACCTCCCTAGGGACATTGTACACCTTTTCTAGGTTGATAAACATTATGTATAAGTCTCGCTTCTTGTCCATATACTACTCCAGCAATATCCTTCAAAGACGGATGACTTCTTTAGTCGACCATCCTAACATAGATTCGATTTGGTTTTCAGATATAAATACACGCCTACTCATCCTTATTTTCGACCACCATTCCCCAAACTTTCATAGTATGACGTGGTAGCTTGATACCCTAATATTTGTTGCAATGTTGAATACCACATTTGTTCTTGTACAATCACACCATTGTACTCAATCTCCATTCTTTTTGCATTTCAACTGTTCGGAAAATGACATTAAGCAACTCAGTCATCCACTTTATACTTGTCTACCCGTGTTCTTCCAAAACTCTATCGGTATCTCGACTGGCCTAGTTGCTCTTCCCCTTCTCATCTTACGAATAGCCCTCTTAACCTCTTCAACCTGTATACACCTACAATACCCAAAATCTCCACGACTCACGGAGTGCTCTAACTCCTCCAACATGATATCCATGTCCACTTCTTCATTCAAGAGCTAGTGGAAATATGTATGCCATCTCTGTCTAATGTGCCTCTTCTGGCGGAACTTAACCATCTTCGTCTTTGATGCACTTCACTTAATCGTGGTCACAAACCCTCTTCTCTCTCATCTTGGCAAGCCTATACAACTTTCCATCCCCACCCTTTCCCTCGAGCTCTCAATACAAGTGCTCAAAAGCTTCTGATTTAGCCATCATGACCGCTAGCTTTGTTTCCTTCTTTGTTGTCTTATACCTCTCTCTTTTCCTCTTATTCTCCTCGTCTAAGCTTTCCACTAACACTTGTGTGGACAAATTAGGAGAGACATGATTAGAAATGAAGTTAATATGGGGCAAGGTGGGAGTGGACTCCACAGCAGAAAAACTAAGGTAAGCAAAGCTGAGATGGTTCAAGCATGTGAAGAGAAGGTGTGTGGATGCGCCAATTAGGAGGTGTGAGAGGTTGGTTGTAATAGAAGTTGAGAGAGATAGAGGTAGGTCAAAAAAAATCGGAGGAAGGTGATTAGACGAGACATGACAACTTCAACTTACTAAGGATATGACATACATAGGAAGGTGTGAACGTCAAGGATTAGCGTAGAAAGTTAGTAGGTAGCAACTGTGCCTGTTAGGTGGGAGAGACGGGGGCTAGCCTCGTCTTCTCTTCTTTAATAGTAGTAGTATCTAGTAATCACGTAATTTCTTGTTCTTCAATGTGTTTTTTGCTATTTGTTGCTCCATTTCCTTCGTATCTTCATGTTTATTGTCACTTTTTCCTTCTTGCAACCCTTCTCCGAATAACCTCTCTTTTAAAGTCGAGGGTTTATCCGAAACAACTTCTCTACCCCATAAATATAGGGTAAGGTCTGCATACATTTTACCCTCCCAAGACCCCACTTTTGGGATTAATAGGAAAATATAGCAGGCACTAGTGCACCAGTCGCCACAACCAAATTCTGAAAATGTATTTGTGAAGTTTTTAAAGTCATCTGGTGGAGATGTGTGACGTGTTAAGTCTATACCAAGTTGTGGAGGTACTAATATTTAGAAAATGTCAAAGAAGCAAATATCCTGAAGATTACCTGACATTTGTTAAATTGCGTGATTGTTGGGAAAATCCAATTTCTTCTTCTCCCTTCACTGAAAAGAAACCAAGATTAAGATTATGAGCTCAAATCACGGGAAAGGTAAACAGGTGAGTGAAAAATCATGCAGAGCTCTGAGCACATTCATATACAATTCTTCAAAATGAAAAGGCTTCAGCTATTGGGCACTGATGAGAAAATTTTATGACATATCAATATAAAGAACCGACAGAATATAAACACCTAGAGAGAATTCAAGAAAGCCCCATCTATATCTTACATTCACTCCATATGCACTAATAAGTTTTTACAAATCTATGAAATAGATCCAGCTAGCACCACAGACTAGTACAACTTAGCTTTCATTAGTTCCTTGCTGCAGCCTGGAGCTAAATTCCACATGTAATTTAGAGAAAATCCAATGTGACTTAAAAGGTTTACTTTTTTATCTTCTTTACCCAAGTTGAGAAATAAATAGACCTTCAGCTTAACTCAACCCCAAAAAGCTAGCTCATGAAGATCGCCCAAAACCAACATAGGACTTTGACACCCACCTACGGACTGCACAAATAGGAGAGTGGATAACATAACACAATGGATCGACAATGAGAAACACAACAGCAAGGATTGATGGGTTCGTCTCTGCTACCATGAAGAAATAGACTTTGGGTCTAACTCAACCCAAAATGCTTGCTCATGAGGGGAGGATTGTCAAGACCATATAAGGAACCCTAACTCATTCTCTCAACCAATGTGGGACTTAACACAAGTAATAAGTTTTATATATCAACTAAACAGGCACTAACCTTACTCTTATTTATGCAACATCGTTCTCTACAAAGTCATGTGGTCCTCAAAACACAATGGTATTTCATGTGTAACCAAAAAATACAGCAACAGTTTAGCATCTGGAACAAAATCTCTCTAAAAGACATGACAGTACTCAGTTACATCCCTTTCGAATTTTGTGCACCAATGTGTTAGGATAGACAATGACCTATCCTTCTCCTCCCACTTCCCCTGATTCTTCACTAGCACATCAGCTTAACAGAATTCAGAACAACAAGGTACAAGCTCATTCTGTCCATATTATGCAATAGATGAAATAGCTTTGATGTTTCAAAATTCTGTTATGGCTTATAGTAGTCACTACGATTCTTTGTGTAGAGAAGTAAGGATTAAGTTGTTCATCAGTGCAATGTCATATTTTTGAAAAGGAACCTTCCAGATTATATAGATTCATGATCCAGTTGCAAATACACATGCAAGGAATGGAAACAGATTAATTGTAAAAAGATGAGTACACTCTTAGGCAATTTGAGTCAACAAACCATAAATTGCAGAAGTGCCACCCACCCTCCAAAGGCGGGAAAAAAAGAAGCAACCCCTTAAGGAAGGTAAGAAACTGTTTTTTCAGATAAGCAGTAGGTTTCTGTCACTAACCTCACATGAGAAAATAATGACTTTGCTATCACATTCAAGACAGATGCAAAGATAAGGATATTGATCTTAGATAGTAATTCTGAAGAAAGTCCCCTTAGCAATTCCAAGACCCTTGACTTTGCCTTAGCACTTGCCTCGTGATACCTGCGAAAGAGATCCAAACATTTTTTTACCAAAGAAAGAATTTCCTTGTAAGAATTACAAATTGGCCTCAATGTAAGCAAAGAACCTAGCTATTGCATCTTCCACCCTCATTGTAGTGAACCATTCTTCTCCAACCTTCTTCCCCTTTGAATCTAGAGCAGGTTTGAGATGCTTAATTTGTTCTTCTCCAGCGGTTCCAGCCCAAACAGTTGGTACAAATCGCTTTCCCTTAAACCATACAGCTCCATGCTCTCGAGCATACAAAATCTCCCCTTTAGTTCCTCCAAGTGGGGCCATCGTGGCACTTATTCTTGAAATAATAGGCAGGAAATCTTCTGTTATCTAGAAACAGAATGGAAGACCACTTAAATATTTGGGAGATTGGTTGTTAAGTTCATTAATTTCAGATTTTTGTGTCTCTTTCTTCTTTATTTTTTTCTTTTTCGATTTGGCTGCCAGTCTTGGAACTGACTTGCATGGTTGCTTCTATAAAGTACAGGTCGAACTTCTATAGTTCAAGATCTATTTGCCTGGAGCAATTATAACTACTTCTCCAAAAAAAAAATATTTTTATAGATCATTTGTTTCAGACTCAGAATTTCAATCTGGTTAGTCAACCAGCCAAAGCATTATACATGACTATTTAGAAAAAGCAATGTATATTTTAGCTATCAAGAAGAGTACTAAAGCACCAGATGCACAACTTGTAAATCATTAGCATTATTATTAGGGATGATAGGATAGGAATTATTATTTGGGATGATAAGAGACTCACAGCTAAAGATAAAGCATCTGCAGCCTTTTCTACTTCTGCATATGCTTCCTCCAAATGGATCCTCTTGACACGGCCTTTCCACAACAACTCCATATCTTCAAAGAAATCATTTGGGATGATAGGATAGGAACTAACCTTTTGATCCCTTTCACCATGTACGGATATTATTTCACTGATTCTACAAGAAATCTTTCCACATTCATTTACCTGAAGTAACAAGGGGTTAAATTTAATCAGATCTACAATCAAAGCACCTTTTGCAAGAATTGGCGAAAACAAATCTAAGTCAAATTAGTCAATACATGAGCAGATACGAAGAGCACCTGGTGCATGGACCAAACTAAAAAAGGCAAAAACTAAAATCAGTATAAACCCTACAAGAGAGAAAAAATTACAGAAAAAACAAGAGGCATATGCATGTGTCTTACCACCAGGAAGCTAAATTATGATCAACAAAGTTTATAATTCTAATATACTGAACAATTATTACACACCTCTAATTGTAGGTATAAAAAGTAGCCATGCTTTTACAATGTAAGAAGAAATTTAAAAACTTATACAGGAATCATTCAATTAACAAGATACATTCTTGCTAGACGGTTAGAGTAGCTCCACACTGTCATCTTTGATCTCCAAGCCCATACAATGCAAAAGCATTTTCAAGAAAAGGAAAAAGGAAAAAAAAAGATTTAAAAAAGAAAAAAGCTGAATGATTCCTGTCCACCTATCCTTAACTGGACTGCACGAGATAATTGCTCTTTATGCACCACTCAATATTAAACTGCACAGGAAGTCTTTGTAATTGGAAGTGGAATAAAAACCCCAACATCACTTACTAGTGTATCAAAATCAACTTTCAACCCAGTTGCCACCCAAGTAGGATCCATCAGTAACTCTACAATAGCACGAAGTTCTGAATTTCTATACAACTGCAGTATCTCTTCGACCATGCTCTTTATTTTGCAGAACTCTACATGATTTGCCTCCCTCAACTCAAGCAGCTTGACCAGCTGTAAATAGATAACAAAAAGCGCAACAGTAATGCTTACAAACTGAAGCACAGAAAGCTAAGAATTGTTTGAGAAGGGAAAGCAGCATGAGGAAGAGAATTGTTCTTTTATATAACTGAAGTTTTCCTACCTAGCACAAGGTTTGAAACTCAAAACACATGACATAATACCAGAACCAATGATCTATAGAATGAATAGTAGACAGAAGTACCAATGCTGCTAATCTGATGACAAGTTCAGAATAGTAGACAGAATTGATGGACTTAATATATCTCCCAAAAGTCGTGATTTATAGAAGAAATTCATAGCAATCATCTGTTTTATGATGTCTTCTTCTCTTTTTTTATTGAAGTAAGGTGTTATCATTAAAAAGGCATAAGATGCATAAGGTGCAAAAAATACAAGAGTGATGACTGTTAGCTCTGCTAGTACAGAAAAATCTATGCTAGGATCAAAGAGTTAACAGTAATTACAAAAGAGTGATGACTGTTTTATGTCATTACAAGAGAGTGATGTTTCCTAGTCCAGAGATAAAAATTCGACAAGACAAATCAATCTTATCTGAATCACAAAGATGAACATACGACAGGAACCATGTGATGAGTTCAGACAAAATAATGTCGGTACACAAAAGGCCTCCGAAACTCCTACATTAAGCTCTAACTAGCTACCAATTCATTCACTTTTGAACTGGGAAAAGAGAGAATTAACCAGTCATTAAAATCTAAGCCTCAGAGTTTATAGGCATCAGCAATAAAATGTAGGCACTTATTTCAGCCAAGAAATAATACTAAAATAACATAACCCAACTTTACTAGTTAAGAAGAAGAAAATTGTTACAGCATATGAACAGAATAGATAAATTTTGCAGTGAGAATAAATTGAATAATGAAATGCAACCTTTGCAGATGAAATACAAGTAAAATCAGGAATTGAACATGTGACGCTCATCATAAGTCTGCATGCCTCTGCGAAAGCAAATGAAACATATTAGTAAAGAAAAATTCATTGTGTTTGTTATAAGCACTGAAGATAAGAAATAAGGAAGACATATTAGCCATATATGACACTTCAAGAAATTGTTTGGCACAAAAAAATCACTCCCCCACCCCCTCCTCATCGTGGCAAAAGAAAACAGTAGCAACTACACCAATCCCATACTAACTGAGTCAGCTCTGTGAATCTTTCAACTCAGCTCAATGTGAAGAATTTCATTCCAATACTTAACAGCTTTGTCTTTTGTAGATAAGGATTTATCTGTTACTAGAGATTCTCTACACTTTCTCCTAACAAAGCTCTTGACACACTAAAAAGATGGCAAACAAGACCTAAAGTAAGTTTGCCAACGCGACATATCCCTAATGAACTAGTTGGGCATTGCCCAAATTAGGACAAATTAGTCATTTTCTCAACATCTCGTTTTATCTCAAAGTTCACCAACCCCTTGTGCTTTAGGAGACCTCTAACTCAAATCAAATCTCAAAGCTTACAACTTGATCTTAACTTCACTAGCAAACTGTGACAGTGTGGAGCTTCTTATTGACATCAACTTTTATTTCCAAGCTAGTAGCAAAAGATATTTGTAAGTTAATAGAGAATAGAGAAAAAAACATCACCACATGTTTGCTTCAAATATAAATAACTAAATACGAGAACAATTTCAGTAAAATATGATATTCAATAACTTTTGTGCACATTAGGACAAACTTGTGTTCATTAAATTTCGTGCACTCCATAAGGCCCTAATTAGCATAAATGATTGGATCCTTTTGGGGAGAACCATGTTTTTATGTAGGTTCTCCACTTTCAGTAAACCACTTGGCCCACTTGTACACAGTGACTTTCCACCTATAAAGGAAGTAATTCTTTATAACAGAAATGATTTTTCACAATCCCGAAACTTTACTAGATCTGAAGTTTGTTACAATTGTGCTATTTGCACAGGAAATCTGAAATAAAGAGAGAGAGAGAAAGACAGAGAGACAGAGAGAAAGAGAAGAGATAGGGAGGCAAAAAATACTATAATTATTATGGATTCAACTCATGATAAGAATGACAAACAACATAAAGTTAATTACAACTCTCTTTGCAGAGAATATATTTTTGAGATTTTTTTTTTTTGAGAATTTCTTTTTAGAGAATGTACTTGGAAAACCCCATAATCGAGGTCCATCTATGCAAGAGAAAAGAAGAACATTATTCTTTGAGTGAGTAAAGTAGGAACTATTGATCAAATGCCTAAATCATTTGAAGTGTTGCAATCATCTAGACCTAAACAATGTGTGAGAGAAAGGGTAGAGTTGGGGGTGTAGAAAGACCAGTTCAAACTACCTAAACTCAGAGCTTCCTGGTAGTTTGAAAAAGAGACGAGATGAGATGAAATGAAGGGGCGGTCTGAAGGCCATAGGTTAGAGGTGGAACAGAAGGCAGTGGTCATAGTCATTGCTTGGATTGTAATATTTGCATAGTGTAAAGATATGGCACCTGGGCCTAACTCAAAAAGCTAGCTCATGAGGGGAGGTTTGTCCAAGTCCATATAAGGAAACCAATTTCCCATCCCTCTACTTATGTGGGACTTCTTAACACATAGGTTGTGGCAGTGACCGGAAAGGGATGAAACAGATAAAAGCAGATAGAGAGAAGGGATAGGGAGCATGAAGGAGGCGTTAACAGAGAACAATAAGGAGAATATCTATGCAATGTCCATGAACCAGTTTTTGTTTGAACAAAATAACAAAAATATTTTAAAAAAGAAATATCTTATTAACCATATATATGTTAATAGAAATCTTAATAGGTGATATCGACTCACCGAAGCCAAGTATGTAAGCTCGATTTAATGCTCAGAAGTTAAATGAGCTGAACAGAAAGAAAGCACTTACTTGAGACAACCCAGCTTAAGCAGCAATCAAGCTGCCTTAGCTTGGATGCAACACAAAATGTGATGCCTCATAATTGGCTATCAATAGTCAGGAGGATGTGATTTATCGATTAAATCGTGGTGCAGAATTCTGTCAAGCAGACCACTGCCGGTAATGCAGTCAAGCGATCTCAGCTGATTGCAGCCCTAGATGTGATAGAGCTCGTAACAGGCCCATTAATAACCAGAAAGACCGAAATTTATCAATTGAATCATGGAGCAGATCTCCATCAAGAAGAGAAGCATCGTGTTACCAAATTGAGTGCATTTGAAAGATTTAGACAGCCAGTAGAAATCTAATACAAAGATAAAAGGACGAAGACAAGTCAAAGAGCCTGCAATATTTCCCTACTAGCACTCATGTGGGTCCTGTTGAAGGAAAGAAATACAAAAGCTTTCCAGAGGAAAGAGAATAACAACACACACTTAAGGAACACTTTCACTCCTAGTTATCTTTTGGTACACACATGAGGTTTCAGTTCGTACAGAAGATTGGGCGTCGTTCATAGAAATTCATATTTTGATGTAAATCTCTACTTTTGGGTATACCTTTTTTTTCCTACCCCTCCCTTGGAGCTCCCACCTTTTTGCTCCGTTGGTGACTTGAACTCACAACCTTAGGGCTAGAAGTGAAGGGTGCTTACCATCCGAGCAACTCCCTCTTGTCTACTTTTGGGTATACCTTTTTTTTCCTACCCCTCCCTTGGAGCTCCCACCTTTTTGCTCCGTTGGTGACTTGAACTCACAACCTTAGGGCTAGAAGTGAAGGGTGCTTACCATCCGAGCAACTCCCTCTTGTCTACTTTTGGGTATACTACTTGTATACAGGAGATTGTCTCATTATTAATAAAATCATTTACCTTACTGAAAATAAAAGGAAGAAACCAAATAATGAAACTTCACTCACTATGATATGACAAAACAAGAAAGTTAAAGCTGTCAATATGATCTTAAAATTGATCAAATCTATGATGTAGTTAGTAAAATGATTGTCATCATGAACAAGTGAGGGATGCATGAACATCTACAATATATTTCTCACCTTGAATGTCTGAAGAAATCTCATAGGCTGGTGGATTTAAAAGAAGATCCCTAATATACCTGATAGAGATAATATCACGGACACAACAAATACCAGAACAACATCAAATGTAAAACTAAGAAAAAAAAATGATACAAGATAGACAAATAGATAAATGTTATAAAGAAATAAGTGAACTATCATGAAGATTATATAATCACTTCAAAGTAGCATTGAAACAAAATTCAGTATTCAGAAGGTCATAACTGCTGAAAGAAGAGGAAGTTATCCACCAGAAAACTTTTTTCTAAGAAAATACTAAATGGGAAATACAGCGAAAGGCCTGTGCGCATACTACCCTCCCCAGACAGCCAAACCCCACTTGTGGGATTTCACTAGGTATGTTGTTGTTGGGAAATACAGTGATATAATGAGGCCTCAGTGAAATTAGCCACGTGTCTTAAATTAAGCTACAAATTCAGAAGGAATACCCCATTTTCGTCTGTGCTTCTTAGGGGTTACAGCTCTTTTATAGCTTGGACAAAATCTACTTAACCGACACAGTGTTGATCTAATGACCACATGATTTGGGGGTGTAACAAATACAAGAACTAATTCTGTTCCTTTGAAGTATTTCCATAACCACATTACGAATAGAAAAAGTCTTTTGGAGCAATTCAAAATTTAAAATAAAGTACACTATCCCATACCAACATGTGCAGACTATATAATCGGCTTATGTCGAAGGAGTAAGCTACTAGTCAGGTGTTTAGCAAGTAACTTCAAAAGTTTGTCAATGGATAGGAGTGACTTGTCACTATTACCATGGATGGGAGCAAGGAGAAAGAGTTACAAGTGTGGGAACAGAGGCTATGCAAACTAGGCAAAGAGTTGTGTGGTATGACACAAAGCGATCTCCAGAATAAATCGGAGATCACATCCATGTAAAAACTTAATGATAACCATTACTTTATGGCAAATTAAACAAAAAAAAAAGATTCCACAGAAAAACAGAAAGGAATATTATTTCTTTTTCTTCTCTAACTAAAAAAAAACACCCAGACCACAGATTAATTCATTGAACCCCATGTATTCTTCTCCTCCTCAATCTTAATGGTCACCTCCCACTCTCTCACCCCCACCCCCACCCCCCGAAGTCTCCTGTTAAGCTAAATCATGAAAATAATAGAACCTGTAAATTTTCAGAGACTGAATTGCCTATACGTGTGGACCTCTATACAACATTAAGACAAGTTCCAGCTCGGATACACAAATATGAGTTCTTAAGGAGCTACAGGTTCTCAATATCTGGAAAACAAATACAGTCAATTGTATAATGCTGCTGTAAAGAACAGTGATCCCACATCTTTTGATAATTCTGTGGCTAAGACAAGGATTATTGAAATGGCAGCTAGGTGGAGCAAAAACTATAGCAGCACAGGTACAAAACAATTACTGCTGGTTTACGGGAGCTGGGGTTCTAGAAAGAAACAGAGAGAACTCCATGCAGTAAGGGGAGACAATTGTTTGCAGTAAAATAATGCTCACTTACAGGGCTGGTAGACCACTGCAATGTGGAGGAAGCAACACCTTTAACAAACATGGAATCCCTTCGGTTGGAATAGCACCTAAAGGTAACAAACCCCGGAAACAGATGTTTCAGCCTAGGGTGACACCACCACATAATGACAGAATGTAACAGAATTAAACACAGTATAATCATTACCAATTTGTGTGGCAGTTCCAAGGTGTAAAGGACGGGGCCTATTTTCTGAAACAACAGTGACATTTCTGAATGGAATGTCATCATCGAGACCATAAAGCTCTTTTACCTGAAATTTTCATTACTTTGCATGTAACTGAAGTAATGAGGGTCACAAGCAATGAAACGATGTGAAGCCAAACCTTGAATAAAAGCTCATCGATAGGATTGCCATCCAACCATTCCTGCTGTCTAGCATTACATTCTCCCCACAAAAGTCCACCTTCACCAAACTCTCCCCAACGCGATGTTCCTGTGAGGAGACCCTCCAGCTAAATGAAGGATTGAATAACATATACATATATAAATAGAGTAAATTCAGAACAGATGTGTTGCCTTCTAATCTAAAGTTACATGCAACAGCCTAAACATCATTGTAGACTCAAAAACAAAATATTAGATCAAACAAGCATACCAACCCCCAACCCCCCTCCTTCCCACTTTTTTTGGAACTGGATAGAAAAACAAATTGGTTGAGTCAATGGAAGACCTAAAAGTAACACAGAAGTTGAACATGTTCGGGAAGTGTCCACAACAAACTCTTCAAGGTTTTGTTCGACCAGTCATATCCTATGTGGTTTTCAACATTTAAGTGAAGGCTAATTCACATCTAAACTCGCCTTGCTTCCTTGATTAAATATGAAGAACCAAATTGTTAACAACTTAACAACCACCCGGAATGCCAAAATTACAGAAAGATGTTAAAGTAGTTTTATCCTATGGGAAAATTCTACAAAATTTCCTCTTCTTTTATCAGAAAAGAGATAAGGAGAATTCCCCATACTATAAAACTGCTTCTCATTGGAGTGAATTTCCCCTGAAACCATTCTCCAATGCAAGAAACATACATGAAATGACAAATGGAGATTTTCATGCTTTCAACTTATCCATGGTGCAAGGTAATGAGCTAATGTGGTCTTCATGCAAGTTATCTCTTATCAAACTCTCCATTTTACCTATTTCTCTAGCTCATACCCCTTCTTCCCCCCCCCCCCCCCGCCCC